CCAACCTCCAGGATTCTGGGATTCTCCTGCTGTGGACGGTCCTTCCTTCTGCCAGTCCTGCACTGGAGCTGGGGAGGGCTGAGGCACAAACACCCTGGAGACCCTCAGACTCCTCCAGGCCCTGGGGAACCAGGTCTCCTGTTTCCTCCTGGAGGAAGGACAAGTCTTCCTCTTCCCCAGTCTTCCTCTTGCCACCAACAGAAGCTTTTCTGTTGCCTTGACATCCCAGGCCAGGTTCAACTCCACCAGAGCTCCACCTCTCCTGACCTGGCCCTGCCTGCTCAGCCCAGCTCTCTGTTCTCCTCCCAGGCTGCCTGTCCTTCCTTTCACCCTCTGGAGGCTTCATTTTCCTGCTGGAGTTTGTCCAGCAGCCCCTTGTTCACCCTCCCAGGTGTTTTTGTCCAACTTCCTCCTCCTTGGGCTGCATCGCTCCCAAGCCTGGAGGTGACACTCAAGTGTCAACCTCGGGCTTCTCTTCCCTGCAGGGTTTTGTCCCAGGGGACTCCGCCCGGCAGATCCCTGCAGAGGCCAAACTCTGCTCTCCCAGAGCCCAGGGCAGGGTTTGCTGTGCCCTCCTCGCTGTCCCAGGAGCTCCAACTCCACCATTCCACGTTCCCTCAGCCCCTCCTGCGGGTGAGCACGAGGTCCAGCACAGCCCTTGCTCCTTGTTGGCTCCTCCACCTCCTGGAGAGGGAATTTATCCCCATCGACACATCCCAGAACCTCCCGGGTCGATTCTGCCCCTCTGTGCTGGGTGGGTGAAGCCCCTCTTGAGGGGGTTTGTGGACATGACACTGGTGGCTCCTGCCTGTCCAGGGCCTCCTCCAGGGGGTTTTCCTGCACAGACCCCAAAAGCCACTCCCAGTTGCTCCCAGTGCCTGTGTCTGGTTCAGTGCTGGGCTTGCCTGTGTCAGGTTTCCGGTGGGATTTGATCCTCTGGAGGGTCTTTTCCAACCTGAACGATCCTCTGGGTGCACAAATGTCTGGGACAGGCCTTGGGAAGGGCTGTGGGGGGTTGTCCCCAGCTGAGTGGGGACACCAGGCCAGTCCTGCCCAGCTCGGGTGACCTTGGGCCCGGCCCAGCCCCAGCTTTGCCCTCCAGCCTGTCCTGTCCAGCCCCTGCTGCCCCCTCTGCTCTTGGGACCCGAAACTCCCAAAAGGTTTTCCACGGATTCTTCCGGAGTATTTGCTCAAGGGAACAGTTTTAATTCATAGCCTAAATCCATGGATTTCATCAGTACTTGGAGTTGTCCCAGTGTGGAACTGCAGCACCTCCTGCCCCCAGGGACTGTCCCTGCGGGGGCACATTCCCAAAACTCCTGTTCCTGCTGGAAACTCTTCACGGATCCTGGGAGCCCAGGGATGAACAAGGGCAGGAAAATCAAACCCGTGTTGCAGACAATGAGTCCAGGTGAGGAGCAGCTCCAACAACCTCCAGGTCTTGGCTCTTGGGAGCCCCTTTCCTCCTGTTGGAGCAACTTTTCCCCCTCAGAGGGGCTTCTCCTGGCTCTCAGTGACTCTCCCAAATTGCATGGACGTCATTCCAAGAAGGCTCCTCTATCTCTTCCACACTTGGCTTTGCTTTGTCCTTCTGATCTGCACCAGTTTTCCAGGATTGGATTGGAAACAGCCCATTCACTTTTTTTCCACCAAATCCTACTGGCCACGTTCCATCCCAACCTCGCAGGGGGGATTCTTCTCCCAGTTTTCAGCATTTTAGGGAAAACTCGGGCCAATGGACCCCTCAAGTTGGGCAGAAGAGCTTCTGGGAGGCAGATGTTGTGGAATGTCAGTGCTGGAATCCTCCAGGGAAAGGAGAGGGAAGGAGATCTTCGCTTCATTAAATTTCTTTGGAGACCTTGGAAAACAGGGGGAAGACGTTTGTCAGAAGGCACCAGACATGAGGCTGCTTCCACCTCCTTCCTCTTCACGAGGCTGTTCCCACCTCTTCACATCCTGTGGGATGGAGTCGGTGTCCTTCCAGCATCCCAAAAACTGTGTCTGGGATGTGGGAGTGACATCCCCATGTTTGGAGCAGCCATGGGACATCAAGGATTCCTCCTCCTCCTCCCACTGTGTGACCCCAGAGCGGGCTGGGGACAGACCAGGACTCGGGATGGACCAGAAGGTGGGTGGACGAGCTGGGAATGGATGAGAAGTTGGGGATAAACAAAAAGTTGGGAATGAACAAGAAGTTGGGAAAGAACAATAAGTTGGGGATGAACAAGAATCTGGGGATGGACGAGAAGCTGGGAATGGACCAGAAGTTGGGAATGCACAAGAAGCTGGGAAAGAACAAGAAGTCAGGGATGGACAAGTTGGGACTGGACCAGAAGTTGGGGATGGACACGAAGCTGAGATGGACACAGCCAGGACCGTTTTCCCAGCCTGATCCCAGGGATTTTCCAGGCCATCCGAGGTCCTGCTCAGCAATAAAAGCCCGATGGCAGCAGGAGGAGGCAGCGACATTTTCGGTCCCAGGATTCCTCTTCCCAATTTAACATCACACACATGGAGAGCCTGGAAGTGGCCAATCCTCTGCCCGCTGACAGCACAGGGATCCAATTCCTGATTTGGCTTTTCCAAAGTGCCTTTGGCTCAAGCCCCAGCTCCATGGGTTTGTCCTTCCCCCCATCCCATGGGAGGGGAGCGTGGAGGCAGCCTGGGATGGGCCAAGGTCAACCACAGAGGGAGCATTCCCACCTTTCCCACAGAACTGCTGACTCATTTCTGACAGCCTTGGCCAAACCTGGGCCTCTCCCACCTGTCCCGGGAACAGCAGACAGGAATTGTCCTCACTGGCTGCTCAAAACCCCACATTTTCCCCCAAATCCCGTGGAATTGTCCCCTTTGCTTTGCACATTTACCACTGTGGGTCCCACACCTGCGGTGGCCACAGAACTATGGAATATCCCGGGTTGGGATCAGAGTCCAACCGCTGGTCCCTCCCTCAACCCTTGACTGTCCAATTCAGCCACATCCTTCTCTCTCCAGCCCTTCATTAAGTGTTTAATTAATCTGCTTTCCTGTGCCCAACTATGGGATTTCTGCCCCAAAACTCTCTCTGCACACACGATGACCCCGTGGATGCCCTGACCTGCTGGCCCCACCACTTCTCCCTCACAGAGCAGCTCAACCTCAACTCCAAGGGTTTGTTTCCATCACTCACCTTCCTCCCTCACCCTCCACTCCGTGCCTGCTTTTCTATCCAAGCTCTCCCATCCCTGGAAGTGTCCAAGGCCAGGCTGGACCTCAGTCTGGTCCAGTGCAAGGTGTCCTTGCCCACCTTGAAATGATCTTCAAGGTCCCTTCCAACCCAAACCTGGGATTCTTCAGAGCAGGGACTTCCTTTCCCTTCCCCCTCTAAATCCACTGGAGTTTTTCCCACTGTCAAGACTCACAAAAATCAGGGAAGATGGGGCTGGCAGAGCTCTCCAGGACCCACCTCCACAGCAACACCCTCCACCAACACCCTGTGGGTGAGAATTGGATTAAAACACAGAAAACAAGAACGAGAACAAAACACAAACCCGGTGACCAACGACCTGGCAGGGAGAGGAACCAGCAGGGGTTGGTGTTCAACATAAACCAGAAATGGACAAAGGGAAAAAAAAAACAGGGACAAATTCTGCTGGGAAAAAATAAAAAGTTCTTAATTGTTGTCAGAGAGAGGGAGGAGCTGCAGGAGGAGCTGCAGGAGCCAAAGACACGGACAACAGAGGGTGGGGGTCCAAAGTCATCCCACCCCACACACCAACCAAGGGACCATCAGCTGGGGGTGGCAAAAGCCACGTCCAGGAACAACAAATCCAGAGACACCA